ATAATAAATAGCAGTTGTAGTTGTAGTTAGTGTCTTGGCAAACTGACCAAGGCTTAACCCTTATTATCCAGTCTGGTGTCCTTGTCCTTAGCAAAACTATAAGTTACTATCTTTTTTTTTTGGGGGGGGGGGTCATGTTCAACCTCACAGGTACGCTACATCCACGGCATTCCCCGCATCTACCCAGCTTGTAAGGTTAAATTGTTACCGGGTGAAAAAGTGCCGAGGCTAAATGCAAACGCCTTGGTTTTGTTGCAACGGTTTGTATGGCCGCAACGTCACACCCGCTTGTAAAACACCTGAAGGCCTGTTTGATTGAAAGGCGGGGTAGATCTCTTTGAAATAAAATCAATGATTACATATTAAGCTTTGTGAGCCCGCAAGTAAGACTTGAACGGGCCAGTCGTGCTGAGGGCATTTTCTCCATGTGCGTGATGGTTACCAATGTGTTTGTGGTCTTCCGTTACTCTATCGAGCCTTTGCATCTGCTCAGTGGGTGTAAAGCAAGAGATATCTCAAGAGCAGGAGATGGTATCTCTTCTCCCTTCGTGAGTAGTTCCTCGGGCTCACTCTCGTCTGAGACTCTGGACTCCATCAAGGAAGTCTGGGACTTGACCCCAGGAACGGAATGGGCATCATCTCATAGAATCATAGAAACATCTCTCTCTCGTTTGAGTTGCTTCCTGTGTTTTGAGAAAAATGCTCCCTCTACTAGTTATTTGTTATGTATATAATTGAGATTTCCTACTATATTGTATGTATATATTGGTATGCAGTTTTCCCCTTAACTCTATGTTGTTACAGGTTGTGAGAGGGACTACGGACCATGTGACCAGATCTGGGACTATACGGACTGAGACTCCATTTTGGAAGCCAGTTTACTCCAGTGTGGATGAGAATTTTTACTTCGGAGTCAGTAGAGCCCCAGCTTTTGCCAATCTAGCCATTTGAAAACATGCAAGTGAGAGTAGTTTGAGGTTGTGGGAGGGACAACAGACCATGTGACCAGATCTGGGACTATACGGACTGAGACTCCATTTTGGAAGCCGGTTTACTCCAGTGTGGATGAGAATTTTTACTTCGGAGTTAGTAGAGCCCCAGCTTCTGCCAATCTAGCAATTTGAAAACATGCAAATGAGAGTAGTTTGAGGTTGTGGGAGGGACA